AGAGAGAGAGAGAGAGAGAGAGAGAGAGAGAGAGAGAGAGAGAGAGAGAGAGAGAGAGAGAGCGAGAGATAGATAGATAGAGAGAGAGAAAGATTTTGCATTACACTGTAATCTAATGTCCTCTTCAAATCACTGCGGAATCAATTATTATATCACAGGTCTCCAACCGAAAACACTTATATGAGTTACGTACACATTGTCACATACATCAATCGAGTGTCACGCCAACCAGAACTCAGCCTCTGCACATATCTACACATTAATTGGATGTTTTTTCTTTACTTCTCTTGTCGACCGTCTTGCAGGTCGTCCTTCGTCATCCCCTTGCCGCAGTTCATCGACTTTTGCCCTTACATCGTCATTGTCATCGCGCCCCTCCACAACTCCGTCTATCCCTTCATCACTCAACGAGAAATAATTAATCACCGACTTCGACATGGTTGGTCCCTCGACCTTCCTCGTCCCTTCCTTCTCTGTCTCATCTAGCAGTTTTATCATCTCATTTGAATCATTTTGCACCTCACTCGCACGTTGTGCATACCCACCTTGTTGCATTTCATTTGCAACAGCCCCACTACCGGAAGGAGTGGGGCTCGCCATCTGCGATGCACACTCGTTTCCCGCCTGCGTTATTAGAGGAGGTCCGTACGATGTAACGTTCGATGCCACTTTGTCGACATTCCGTGGAACCTCGGTCGCCTCCATTATCTTGCTGGCTGTCTGACTCATTGCTTCTCCAACACTCGTTGCAAACTGCGTGTTTGACTCCCCCCCAATCTGTAAGCATCCCAACCGGATTGTCTCAATGCCATGGCCAGCTTGGGGAAGATCGATCTTCCAGTTGATACTCTTGTATGACCGACTTGACTCCAAGTCATAGAATCCGTGTTTATATTCCAGTCGGTTTTTGGAGTGAAGAYATTCGAATAGCAATCGAGCCTTTTCCTCAATAGCTGCTTCGTCCGCTCCATCATTTTCTTTCCTAACACGAAATACGATTTCGCTCTTCGCCAATTTCAGTCACGAGGCTTCATCCAGTCTGGCTCTGACTTTCCATCCTTTTGTTAGATGGACTGCCATCATCCACTTCCCCTGTACAATGCATGGCTCGAATAGGTCCATATGCCACAAAATGTGATGCCCCCACTTGTCAGACGTCGTTTCTGGCACCTTGTCTGGAATGAAGTACGGCTGTTCACTGACCTGCGCAATGCTATCAGGGATATCATCACCGAGCATCAGCTTCGGGAGGGCATTTGGAACCGCAAAGTCATCCTCGTCATCGTCTGGCCGCATTTCGTTGACCGGGTTTCCTCGAGATTGAGCGTTTTTTCGGAACCCTTGACGATTGCCATGAATCAGTACATTCTCAAGTGTTTGAATTGGCGTAAGCGAATCCGTTTGCATGTGTTCAATGGAACTCGCCCTGTCGGTCATGTCACGCGTTGGACTGCTCGCACCCGCCGATTTCGTGCGAACTTCTTCTTCCTGGAGGCTTGGCGCGTTGCATGCAGGCACGCTTTCCATTCCCTCTCGCATACGTTTCACTCGCTCCTCGATTTCGAGGTCTGAGGTTTCAGTCTCCTCATCGCTCTCGATCGGATTCCACGCATCATATTCTTTGGCAATCTTGTTGTATCCATTGTACGTCAGCATTGCCTGATTTCCTCCGAACTTCATTCGTTCGCATCTTGCTACGAACATCGCAAACGACCCCACTTGCGCTTTATGGTAGCCACTATACGCTTCCTGTGTCATCGCTTTGCGAACTATGTAGTCATGCTCGAATGGCGTCTTGGGTTGGTCTTGGAACAAATATTCCCACATCTTGTTTCTCTTCTTGCCCAGCTTCTGGTACATGTCCCTGTCAGGACGATGCGCAGTCTTCTGTCTCTCAACGGTGCATTCGTTTCTCGCATCCTTCCCGAGAATTTCGATGACCTTCGTCAAGTATGAAATGTCTTTTGACGACGAGTCGCATGCAAAAACATAATGGTCAGTGCGCAGGAGCTCCCACACAAGTCCGACATGCGACTTTCCAATAAGAATCACCCCCTGGTCCTCGTGCAGAAACGAACTGCACAACTTCTGCAACCGTTTAGGATGTCGTTCCCACCGCCCATACACCTCTCGTTCGTTTCCTTCCTCGCCACCGTGCTTTGCTGTGCATCTYTTGAATTGCTCCTCATCAACGTTCAGCTCCACTATCTCTGCCTCCGATTTAGGAGCCYTCGTTACCTTCCTRAGGTCGTCCCCCTCAGCATGCAGGACGACCGCCATCGTGTCCTTATAATCGACTTGCCAGTTTCCATACTTGCTGACAGCCGTTCCGAACGCGAGATAATGCTTCCAAGTCCCGAGTAGCACCTCTGCATCGTCCCAGTTGTAAAGTTGCTTCATGACAGCCTTGTGCTGTTTTTGCGGAGCAAATACAATCAGAATCCAATTATTACCGCACAATTTCGTCATCATTTTGCGCAGAGCATCGAAATCGG